AGAAGCAATGGACAATGGGGCAGACAGTATCACAAAAGTTCAATACGGCCTTGCTCCGGGATACTAACAAACTCAACAAATTCAAGATAGTCCTCAGCAACAAGTTCCAGGCCTTTCATGATCTACTCAATGGAGAAGGAACTACTGTGGAGAGCAACTGGAAGGGGATCAAAGAGGCAATCACTTCAACATGTCATGAGGTCCTGGGTCACAAGAAGCACCATCACAAGGAATGGATCACTGTTGATACACTGGATAAGATTCAAGAAAGAAGAAACAAGAAGGCAGCAATCAATACCAGCCGAACAAGAGCAGAAAAAGCCAAGGCACAAGGTGAATACACAGAAGTAAACAAACAAGTGAAGAGGAGCATCAGAACCGACAAACGTAAATATGTGGAAGATTTAGCAACGACGGCGGAAAAGGCTGCAAGAGAAGGAAACATGAGACAATTGTATGACACGACAAAGAAACTCTCTGGAAATCGCCGCAAACCAGAACGACCAGTGAAAAGCAAAGAAGGCAAGGTAATCATTGAAGAGCAATAAAACAGGTGAGTAGAACACTTCAAAGAACTCTTGAATCGACCAGCTCCACTGAACCCACCTAACATCGAAGCAGCACCCACGGACCTCCCAATCAATGTTGGCCCACCAACAATTGAAGAAATCAGCATGGCCATCAGACAAATCAAGAGTGGCAAAGCAGCAGGACCAGACAACATCCCAGCAGAGGCACTAAAGGCAGACGTAGCGGCAGCTGCAAGGATACTCCACATTCTCTTCAATAAGATTTGGGATGAGGAACAAGTACCAAAGACTGGAAAGAAGGACTTCTGATCAAAATACCAAAGAAAGGCGATCTCAGCAATTGTGATAACTACAGGGGCATCACTCTTCTCTCAATACCGGGAAAGGTCTTCAACAGGGTATTGTTAAACAGGATGAAGGACTGCGTAGACGCCTAACTTCGTGACCAACAAGCAGGATTCCGTGAGGATAGATCGTGTACAGACCAAATCGCAACTCTACGGATCATTGTGGAACAATCAATTGAATGGAATTCATCACTCTACATCAACTTCATTGACTGTGCAAAGGTATTTGATAGCGTGGACAGAACAACACAATGGAAGCTTCTTCGACACTACGGCGTGCCTCAGAAGATAGTTAATATCATACAGAACTCATATGATGGATTACACTGCAAAATTGTGCATGGAGGACAGTTGACAAAGTCGTTCGAAGTGAAGACCGGTATGGGGCAGAAACCTGGAGAACTACGAAAGCCATCATCCAGAAAATACAGGTGTTTATTAACAATTGTCTACGCAAAATACTTCAGATCCATTGGCCGGACTCTATTAGCAACAACCTACTGTGGGAGAGAACAAACCAGATCCCAGTGGAGGAAGAAATCAGGAAGAAGTGCTGGAAGTGGATAGGACACACATTGAGGAAAGCACCGAACTGCGTCACAAGACAAGCCCTCACGTGGAATCCTGAAGGCCAAAGGAAAAGAGGAAGACCAAAGAACACATTATGCCGAGAAATGGAGATAGACATGAGAAAAATCAACAAGAATTGGATGGAACTAGAAAAGAAGGCTCAGGACAGAGTGGGTTGGAGAATGCTGGTCAGCGGCCTATGCTCCATTGGGAGTAACAGGCGGAAGCGAAGTCCCTTCAGTCCAGAACACAAATACCAACCAATGTGTGGATCGTATATTTCAGACATATAAACAGACCAGACCACATCACACAAAATAATGAAATAATAGTAATATGAGTATGTGGAATTATGGTCTATTCCGATATCAGTACTGCTCTAATAATATACTCAATCCTGAAATCGTAGATTTGTCATGATACAACTGTTACAAGCAAGTTTTCGCTCATTCCGGTTATTGAATTACAGTATATCGATCTGTTTGCAATTTACGAACCAGAATTAACAGTAGAACCTATTCAGGTACCAAATTTTATTCGCAATTTACAAATAGTCGGCCCAAATGTCGTTCTAACAGTAAGTATAACCATTGCTAAAAAGCCGTCAATTTTGTAGGTTCCCGGAGCGAAAACTCCCAAATACCAAACCAAAGACAAAAGAAACCGAAATGTCCAAAAATAATGGTACAAACAGACAAGTTCCGAAGCTGAGTAAAACAAATGCATCCAAAAACAGCAAAATTATTAATATACAATAAAAAAGGTTTTAATCAGCTAAATGTCTTCAGTCGTCCCATAACACTCCTGACAAAAAAGAGACTTGGCTCTTCTCGCAGACAAATAAATAGGCAGCGAGAATCCAAGTGTAGTCATCACAAGTAATCAACGACAACATTCAATATACCAAAAATCTCGTGATCCCTAGGACTTACATCACTACGCCTAGGGATCCGAGTAACTACCTAACATCTACAACTTCAAGAAGACACAGTCCTCGAATATCTCTCACTAAAATTCCTTGGCTTGTCCTCAGCTCCATCGGTCTCAATCTATCATTACCGGGTATCGCTTTTCTTACCAGACCTAATAACTATTCGTCTTTCTTTAAGAAACCAGAACATGTCATCACCAAGTTACTCTCTCTTATGTTCCTCTCTGGTCTAGTCCATTTGTGTCTACTATGCAACAAGGAAACATACTCCTTAGACAAACGTCTCCAAAATACTTGTGCCAAATAATTCTCTTCTTTACATCTGTCAGAATACCTGTCATTAGATCGAGTATTGCATAGCCCTCTTACGTTCTCTCTCAGCAGTGACAGCCAAAACCCTTTTCGATCCGTTGCTATCGCCTGTGTAGCAACATCTCTTATCCTCTGATAATACTCAAAAGCCGAATCAATAATCGTGTGCTTCGACGACATAATAGGATGCTTTCTTAATTCAGGCCAAGAACCGTTTCGAAGGTGACCACCAACACATAATAATCCACGTGCCATGAAAGGACCCAACATTCGTAAAGAAGAGTTCGTCTCCCTCCTGACATCTTTTGGGCGATAAAGGCATTTTGAACTTCCTAAATACTATAATTAGAGCATTAAGAATCAGGTCTAAGAACATCCAATGCAACACTTCAAGGAAAATTGTATATTCAAACACAAACAACTGTTTGAGTCCGGAAGAGAATATAAGTCCCTATTTACCATGATCATTAGCCACAAATTAAATTGTATGAATCACTGCTTGGCAGTATTGTCGCGTAACTCCAATATAAACACTAAATCTCTTGTAAATACAAATGAATTTTCGACCACCTTTCCCTAAGATTCATTACGAGACCCATCAACACTAACATTGTATGGCCGTTTACTAAGCAAATTTTCCAAACATATTGCTTCATTTAGTTCCACTGTTACTGGAACCTTCGGTTTAAGTGAGCCATGTTTACCAATATGGTGTGCATCCTCGAACTCATAACTATATATTCTTTCTAGATCAGGTGAAACATCATGAGAATGTCAACGCTGTACTTGATGTACGGACCTACATGACCACTTGGGACCTAAAACCAACCAACCGAGGGATGTGCGCACACCAAACGGATGTTCGTGTCTCCTAGACGTTGTTCCAGAACCCAATGTGCATCTGGAGTGTCACACCATATCAACACTCCTACCAAACTACTTTGCAACGTCGGAGGAGTGATGTCCTTCAAATGCTTCCACCGTCCCTGTTGTTCCTCGGTTAAAGGTTCTACATAATCATTAAGAAACGTTTTAGTCGTATAAGCCATGTTCATCTTCACATATCCCTGTTCATTCAGAGAAAATGCCTCTAAATTTACTTCCAAACATTTACAGGTAGTCGTTTTATTCACAGTGGTTATTGTCGTCGAAGTCCCCCTACCCTCAAGACCCGGCTGATTTAATAACTCTTTGCATACGAGGGAAATATTTGAATCACTATCAAGAAAGGCGTAAGTTTTCAAAGTTCCTTTCGGACCACACAGTCTAACCGGAATGATACCCAAACAAACCTTCGACGAGTTCCAACCCTTAACTAAGTTCACTACATGGTTATTAATACCATCAATATGTAGCAATGAATTATGCCGAGTTGCTTGACTTGGCTTTGTGACCCTCCCTTAAACACAGGTAACACAGATCACGTTTTCTCACTTCTTATCTCCTTTCTGTAACATTCATTTCCGATAACTTCGTACAATCGGTCTCTTTGTTATCACTAAAGCAAATTTTGCAACTGAAAGCCATGAACGAGTTGCTTGGTTCCCGCTTAAATACATTAAAACGTGATCTCTTACCAACTTGGCCTTCATAATTACTTTCACTGAACTTTGAATTACAATGTACCAATCTACCAAAACGTGTCCGAACAATCCTGACTCTTTCTTCTACGAAGATCACAAATTCTTTAAAGATCGACTCCCTCTCGGTCATCATGATGTTATCGGCAACTTCCACCCACTTGTTCTGTAATTCTAGGGGTAAATATGACACAATTATTTCCAACTTAGCCGTAGAATTCACGTCAGACATATACCCCATTTCCTTCAACGTTATGCATACATGACGTAGTTTAATTGCGAAGTCAATTAAGCTATCGGCAGACACCTCGACAGATTTGTGATTAAGTGACTCAACAATCAGTTCGCGAGTGACAAGGTGTTCCTTACCAAATAGATAATATAAAACTTGTTTAGCTGTCATAACCCAAATGACTGGGCAAAGAAATGCGGGCTTCAGTAGACGTCCTGTCCTTCCCTTTACAATAATATAACGAATACGACAACAATTGGCCCCTATCGGTCAGTTTACTCTCGATAATGCTAGTAAACCGACTAGTAAAACAGTGGTACTGATTTGGTTGTCCGTCGAAATACATCATATCAGTCCTGGGTAAAACCATATTATTAACCATTATATATAGCGTATCCGTCAACTGATTAACCCAATCGCTTTTTGAGATGCTAAATATCTCCCTTGAATGATAATTACAGCCGGTATCACAATCCAAATACCTTTCCACCTTAGCACTTATCTCACATTTGTCACGGGCAGCGGTTTATCGTCCTCTATGACCTTACATTCTAGTTCGGCCACATCAACCTCTTCTTGGAGATCTAACATCTTAAGCTGACTTTCTAACTCAACTTTCTTTTGTAAATTTTTCTTCCTTAGTAATGCCTTACCTAAATTTAATCTAGAAGTACTAAGCTGATCAGAGGACATATTATTAATACTAACATCATCACGTTTATCATCAGTAAAATCAGACATACCACGAACAGCTTTATAAATTTTACCTTCTACCTCGTCATTTTCCTTCGGTCTTTTACTTCGCATTTCCATCGTATACCTTGGTTCGAAAAGAATCTATTTCCGAAACAATCTGAGTTGATCCACACGAAATCGACCAATAGGGTCAGAAAATTTGGCCCAAACTGTCCAGACAAATCCAAGGTATGAATACAGATCCAATAATTGAGGAACTTTACGTTACATCCGAGTTTTTGCTCGTTCCCGTTATTGAAGTACGGTATATCGATCTATTCGCAACTTACGAACCCAAATTAACAATAGAACCAAATTACAAATGTATTACTGTGGAGAAGAATAACTTCAACTAGCGTTCCAGTTAGTTTGATACGGTTTATTTAGTTCGGGGAGATTTTCCCGACCTCATTTTTGCTGGACTGTGATATAATCTAGTAATACTACTAATACCTATAAATGGTTATTAAAAACAATTTTAGTACATGAATAGCGATAATTATGTGAATTTCGAACAGATAGCTGAGAGAAATTCGTTAAACATTAGTGTATCCGTGAGAGGCATGCTCTAGACTGAATGTTCTGATTTGTCATAGACTATTTATTTATATCCATACCTACCGGCTGATGGTACATACAAGTTAGTCGCAAGTGTGCAATTTAGTATAAGACGGAATACGATTTAATTGAGATATAGTGATTATAATTTATTGAAATCAACTAAGCCTATGTGCCACATGTCTAGGTGATGTGGTGCTGAAAGTTGACTTTGGCTAAATAAGTCTTTACAAGATGATTAACAGTGAGTGATGCCCATGTGATTACCGGGGAAAACATAAGTTGTAACTAAAGGGAGTACGCTCCCAACTCATATATATGATAATGGCTTGAACCTTAGTCAGTGTTGGGGTGAATTCGACATTGATGTTTTTAGTTCGCAGAAAATTTGCTCGACCGCTCATACTGATGCTTTGCACTCACGATTGTGTCGTTAAACTTCAAATCAGATTGACAAGGTTTTGAGATATTTACTGAATGAGCAACTGATAGAGAAAAATACTGTAGTGAATGAAGGAAAAACAAAAACAACACTATTTATGGTAGTTATGAGTCAATTTGTTGACGGATTTTTTTAATAGTTTCACCAATTTTGTCAAACATATAAGGCGATTGTCAAGTCATAACATTGATTTATCACGATATCCTGAAACTATTATGTTTAACTAGTTATAGTGTTGATTGAGGATTAGCCAGTGGGAAAATAGGTATTGTTGATTTAGGTGATTTGAAATTATCAGAAATTTGTAACGTTAAAAAATCCGAGCTGCCTAACGATATTATAAATTTCAATTCAAAAATATACGTCTAGTGTTGAATTTAGTAGTAGGTTCCGGAGTTTTGATTTTAAATGTTTGTTTAGCCAACAACTACCTAAGAGTTTAGCTATTATACTAGTGCAGTTGATAGCGCCTAAACTTGTAACTCTATTATTTAAATTATGTTCGTATTTTAGTCTGTTAATATGATAAACCAATTCACAAACGCAAATACGTATAGCAGCAACGACTGTGATTGGTTTGTTGATAAATGTTAAAGGCGATTCCAATGATTCTTAAATTGAAGACATGAAGATATAGTGAAACGCATGTACGGGCCAGGTTAACATGCGGGTTCTTGACGTATATGACAATTTAAAAATAATCAACATGACCAGAAAAATAATTTTAAAGTTAGGATTGCTTGTGAAACTTTAGGCAGGAATATGACGCGTTATAAACCTTCCGTCGGAAGTTCCTGCATTTAGCTTAATGGCACTTACAAATATGTGGCAAAGGTAACTGGAAAATATATACGTTTTAAGTAGAAAAAATCATCTAGTAAAATAGTTAAATTTGCCGTGTTTTTGGAATTGTTTCATCTTGTTGTTTGGCAATGGAACTCGAAAATAAGAAATTAGGCAAGCAGTGGTCGGAAGAAAAGATATTACACGATGGTGTTCAGTTTAAAACAGAATGTGTTAAGTGACGAAACACTAGGAATTAGATCAAGATAACTATTTTGTCCTTGTTTACGTTGTTAGTCAATGCATATTCAGGTTATTTATATATCATAGTTGCTAGAGCATTATGCTTAACAAGTTTATTCCGCAGAAGGATGTAAATACTAATAAAGCTTGTTAATGAACCATCAAAGCTAATTGAAATAGATGACCGGTTATTGGTATCGATTGAGTTAGTAAGTTATGAGTATTAATCAGTATAGCTTTACGAGTTATCCGCAACGCAAATATGTAAACTTAATGTATCGCCCAGTGTCATCTGTGCGTTCAAGTAACCACAGATTTTGTCATTTCATAGTGTATTTTTAATTAAATAACTAGATTACGTAGTTAATTTTGCTCTGTTTTTAATTTTTATTCGCCACTTCTGACTGCGTTACACTGTGCGGTCACTGCACGCTGGGATGTTATTCCAAGTCATAGTGAGTTTAATCACATAGTTGATTGTTTCCAGATAGACCGTCAGTACATAATGTTACTGAAGAAAGGTTTGTTGTACTGTAAACTATGTTTCTACGAACAACTGACTGCTGTCTTCAGTCGGAAAGCAATATATATATCCTCTGTCTTCTGTTAAGTAAGTTCAACTGGCCTATATTTCGTGTTTTGGTTTTATCGGCTTAATTATGTCCATTTAACTACTTTGAGCAACATGTCTGTGCAAATGAAACGATAACTATAACACTTGCTTAGCTTAGTATTCTTGGTTGTCGTATAATTCAGTTTAGTTGAAAGAATTAAGGTATACTTAAGTATGGTGCTTAAAGCCTGTAACGAAACAGATCAGTTTAGTAAGTAGAGTTGCCTGTTTCTAATGAGTATACTGATTCAGATCAGTCTGATTAAAAATAGGAAAAAACGTGCCTTTGATGCTGTTGCTGTCATACATTATAAGATAGCGATAAGTATGTTTGGTGTTTATTTCTAAACTGTACATCTATCACTGACCATATTTCATGATCACTGTCATTAAACAATTTCCCCAGCAATAGCATCAGTAGCAAGATAGCTTGGCATCTGAGCTTTTAGTTGTCCGCAAAACAGCAGTATACAATCTTAGAAGACGAGTGTTCTGTGTCTCAATTAAATGCAGCTGACTGTGGGCAAATGTTAAGAATCTTTTTGACAACTGGGACTTTTAGTTTATCAGACACTAACTCTGCTTGTATGTCTTCCTGTTAAACTAGACTCAGATGCATGGGAATACTCAAATAGGAGCAAGATAATAAAAGCATTGCAGTACGGTACTAAGCTCATGTTATGCTTTGCGCAAGTAATAGTAGCTGACCTTATCTAATATTCATGGACTCAAGGTAAATCACAACTGCATAAATTCTTTGCTAAAAAACATTTATTTTGGTTATTTATCTATTCCACATTTCTGACTAAATTCATCACTATTTTTCATTTAGAATGTAACAGGAGTGAGCCTTCACAGATCCTAAAAACTGTTTTGCCCTTAGAAATATGGCCCTATGGAACTGTTTACGGGAGACCCAAGTAACAGCAGATTATAAAAAGAATGCTGGACGTCCATTTTAGTCTCACAACCACCTCCAGTATTTTTTGACTTCTTTTACTCTTTCGTTTGGAAAAAACAACAAAAACTGCAGCTTAACATTAGCAATACAACTTTTAGACGGGAACTTGGTTTAAACCTTTGTTTGATATTCGATTCTCAATGAAAGTTCTTGAATAAATTTTTGAATGGAATGCTACTTTGTTTTATCTACTTAATCGTCGCAAGAAACTTGTGATAAGAGAGCCTCTCAGCACTTAGTTCATGTGTTCAAATGGTTGTGAACTGAATAGAAGCTTTCGCTTAATAGGCTTCCGTGTCCAGCAGCAGGGGATCATCAAAACTTCCAGGCGGGAACCTAGGTATGTTAACAATAAAAGAAAAAAAAGAAATTGGTAAATCATAGTATGATATTATCCTTAATCCTTAAGAATAGATCCAATTGCCTCCTAAAGGACTCCTGGGAAGTCGCTTGGACTAGCCCGGGGGGCGAATTCCAGCACTTGACAACTCCTAAGGAGTAGAAGTTGCGTCTACAGTCCATTCTGCTATGTTGTGTCTCTAGTTTCTGGGTGTTACCCCTTAGGTTAGTGTTGGGATTAAGCTAAAGTAGGTGTTTAAGAGAATGTCCAGAAGTGTTAAGGATACTGTAAGCCATTAGGTCACCTCTAAGACGTCTATGTTCTTATGAGTAGAGGTTAAGTGATTGGAGGCTCTCTTCATAAGGTGATTTGGTGCATATCTTCGTCATTTTCTTGGGAGACCTACAGACTCGGGTCCTCTCATAGCTTATTCTAACCACCATGGGTTGTCACGCCAGCTGGCGGATGGACACGCGTTACACATCCCAATCGTACTTGCGTCTAGTCTCATAGCTTCTTATTCAAATGCCATATGATAAGCAAGCAATGCCTCTACCCACACTAATGGAACACGAGTAAGTCAAAGGCACCCTGTATGGTACCTTACATTGGTCTACGAAATCACTTAGCTCTTTAGTGAGGATATTACTATAGTCGTGCTAAAAATCCCATGAACCCCCCTACCTCCATCAAAACAAATATGTCTGTATTTGCTGCATATACTAATTTCATTTTTCAGAAGTAAGATATAACAGTTAGAATTGGAGTAAAATGGCAGTATACAGCAGATGCACGTGGTACATGTTTTCATCGATTAACTGAAATAGAGAATACGGATATCAGCTTAATAGGCTTATTTAGAAAGACTGGTGTCTACTTTGAACTTACTGCGTCAGAAAGTTATGCTGGAATTACGAATAATGTAGGAATCTAGTCTTCCAGGGTGTACGAAGCACTCAAACTGGAAGACAGTTGTCCAAAAATGATTCGAATATGAAGGTGAAAATTTGCAGGTACTTTTCATCGCAAGGGTGAACATATTGGGTACCAGCTGACGTCATACCATAAAAAAACACAAATTTGCGATTGGTGAAATATGATCTATAAAAGTCAGCTTAATAACAGTTAATTACCTATTTACTCCCTGACCATGACCCTTCGGCTTCCTTTTATGGCCAAAACAGCAATCATACACTACACACTGTTAGCAGATTTCCGGCTTTTCAATGTTAAGCTTGGTTTAACGCACTACGTAATGAGTACAACCCCTCCATTACTGCTACATGGCATATTTTTTATAACAAACCCTCTGCAATAGATTGGTATCATCTGTGACTTCGTCTATGGTTGTCGGAAGTCTGGGTCCTTTCGAAATCAATACCGATATACCCTACTGCTGGGCACTCAGTATTAGTTTGACTCGTTGGTGGAATAGTGTTGTCCATAATACTGAAGAAAATTAAAAACCACAGAATTTTTCCTTTCATTTTGCCGATAACATCATAAAGGACAGTTAGGAACGAACATGCGGACAATTAGTCACAGGTGGCAGCAGCAACTAAAAAATGAGCTTCGGCTTTGGATATCTAGGAAACAAGTCAAAACAAAACCGATTACCATTTTAAAACATAAGAATAGCCAGTTTGGCTGAAGAAATACATTGACTTGAGTAGAAGCAGCAAAAACCCAAAAAACAATGCCGATTCGAAGTAAATTTCACACCAACATACAGAACATTACACTAACTGCGGCATTTTAGCACACTGAAACATTAAATTACATAGCTACACAAAAGAAATAGCTGAAAAACGCACAGAACGAAGAAAGCCGACCGCAATTACTTACGAAGATGGCGGATATAATAATTCCCGCCTCATTCTGATTGACTGCTAGGCTGAAGGGCACATTTACGAAATTGAGTTGCGTTTAATTGCAGCCTAATATACGTAAGCACTAGTTAGAGGACTAACAGAATACTGATTAACATAAGTAAAAATTGATCGAGATCATTGTTCTCGCCTTCCTCATTGTCGGGGTTTTCCCCGCATTATATCTATTTCCTCAATTATCTCGTGTTCAGCGCTGAGGATTATGTAGTTAGGGCACAATGCCACTACAGGTTTGCCTCGTTTCGTGTTTTTAAGGGATGAAAATATGCTCAACTTTGTCACGTGTGTAGTAGACCATGTAATGAATGAACACATAGGTGGGGACAACCAATGTATATTAATAAAATGTCACAGAATCCCCTGGCAAAATATAAGAACTCCACTTGCAAATTTCAATCATTTGTCCTTCACATTCTGTGTGATTCTTCTGATTAATAATCCCTTTCTCATCCCGCTTCTGTTTTCTGCAAGTCGACCTTCATGTCTGTCGACATAAGTAGCATACACCACAGGCCGTATTAACGGTCATGTTTACGTATATGTAGTCAGTTAATTTGTCATATTATGATATAATTTTTACTAAAAACCATATTACGCTGTAAATTTTGCTATGGCTGTAATTTTTATCCATCATGCCGGACCGCCTTACGCCGGACATGCACTATATGCTGGAATGATATCTTGTCATAGAAAGCTCAATAAAAGTTGTGGCTGTCTCGAGGTAGACCGTCAGTCAATAATGTCACTGGAGAAATTTTTGTTGTGCTGCGAGCTGTGTTTTGTTGCCTAAGTAACTGTTAACTTCAGTATCGAAACGCCACTGGATGTCATTCTGAAAATTTATATCAGTCCACCCCCAACATGAATCTCACGGGAAACGTAACCATGTTAGAGGTGAAACAACAGGTTGGTATTGATTCTACTCTTTACGAGTAGTCAGATAGTGAGATTGCTTAACACCTCAGTCGGTTCGAGAAATTTTCCAAGTTTCTTTGAAGAAGAAGCTTGATATATTGTTAAGGATTTAGAACAGGATATCATACACATTTTCTATTAATCCTTTTAATTCATTGTCTCAAACACTTTATTACTAGAGACAAACGTTCACTACACAAAACTCTCATTTATTCTATCCACAACTAGCTGGGCCATCTTAGCTCGTCACAAAAATACTGGATATTGAAACTTGAATCTGTTCCAAAGGAACAAACTTCTGTCGCGCGAAGCCTGGAATTCGAGGCGCGCTCATACTGCTTTTCAAGGTTGTGGCTCGCTTGCCGTATTGCAGACAAAGTAAATGGATTGTAAGTGCACCACCCTTGATTTCAATAATTTTGCAGCTAAACCCCGTGAATCCAGGACGAACTTTCGAGTGGGCTGTAAAAAATGTGGATTTAGTAAGCAGCAACATACTTACTAACGGCTGATACAGCCGGCCATTTAACATTTCAATGTCGCAATTATTTACGCGGTGGTGTCTCAGGTGATGTGGTTCTAGATGTAAGCAGTACCAGTTCTCAGTCTGATGAGAGCGAAATAATTGCAGCAGCCTTAGAATTACGACGTGCTTCAATGGGTACGTTAACCTGCTTACACTACACCATATCGTTTACGAATGTTTATTTCCTCATTTTACTATCGCTTCTATTTGTTTGCCTACTTATCCTCATGTTAGGAATCTAATATTCAACGAGGTCGAGTGTCAGTGGTGGACCACTAGTAAGTCCGTAGATTTATGTGGTTTAGGGACAGGACTTTTGTGATACCACACTTACAATGGTTGAATAATGAGACAATGTAGTTACGTATAAGTTACTTCCGTGAATAAGTATCGTCCTAGATATTTAGTTTTGATATCGACCTTATTGCTTCTGACGGATAAGACTGGTCGAAAGGACTATGTTAATGATTATAGCCGTGTAAATTCTGTGAAACATCACGCCCCTGGCCAGATAACCCAGTAGTTAGGTCGCTGAATATCGGTCAGCTTACTAATCCTCGTCAGGTTTAGTTGCAGCCTGTTATATCTGAGCGGAGTATAAATGATTGATAACTGCTGGGAGTTATTGTCACATATTTTTATTGGATAATTACCAGGTAACTAAATTGTATATGTATATACCCGTATTTCTCTAGTCGCAAGCTTTCATTTTACCAATTGTGTACTACAATATAGTTTGCCATTCTTAGATTCCACCCAGTTTATCGGTTTCAGTATCCCACACTCACAGCCTACTTTGGCATGATCTTGTACAATTATTATTATTTCATTATTTTGTGTGATGTGGTCTGGTCTGTTTATATGTCTGAAATATACGATCCACACATTAGTTGGTATTTGTGTTCTGGACTGAAGGGACTAGACTAGGTGAATAATAGCTATGAAAAGTACGAATAAGGACTCAGGGTTGATTCAAGGCTGCTAGTGCTGTCTGACGCATCATCGGTTTAGCACAGGAGCGAGGTCATAGAAGTCGGCATTCTGATAGGCGGCTTTGTCACGTGATATTTGATGGGTCATGGAAAATTAAGCATCCAACTCACATTAAAGGACAGGCTCATTCGGCAGTGGTCGCAATCTGTTGCTTGTACCTATTCTTAATAATATATTTCTGTAATGACGGTGGCTTCTCAGGTGATGTGATTCTAGATGTAAGCAGTGCCAGTTCTTAGTCTGATGAAAGCGAAATAATGGCAGCAGCCTTAGAATTACGACGTGCTACGTTGACCTGCTTACACTACACCATATCGTTTACGAATGTTTATTTCCTCATTTTACTATCACTTCGATTCGTTTGCCTACTTATCTTTATATTAGGAATTTAATATTCCAAGAAAGCGAGCGCCAGTGGGATTCTCAGTCTTAAGAGGATTATCGCGGTATTATTTAGTAACGGTTGTTGATGCGATGGCGAGACTATTTTATGGACGAACCAATCAGATTTAGGACCAGTCAGTCAATAACAATGTAGAACTTCGTACCTTCCTACATCAGTTCGAGTTGCCATACCACACTAGCACACAGATGCAGTTGTCAATTCAAATCCCGTAGTGATAGAGGCGGTAAGAGTATAAGCAGTAATCAGAAAGATTAGGGTTTGGAGATGTTATTTAAAGAGTATAATCCAGTGAAATAAATTTGGGAAGAGGAAAAAAGGGACAAAGAATTCAGAAGATTAGGGTTTGGGAGAAGACAAAGAGTGGATGCACCTGCGCCATTGTAAACGATTTTGAGCCATGTCATTCAAGGTTTCTAACCATCGGTTGTTATCATCTCGCGGTCCCCAACCAGGTAGTCTACACCTGCCAACATGGCTCAGTCCACTTGTCAGTGACTTCATGGACTTGTGCCATGTTTTGGTGTGGCCGCGCCTAGCTTTCTTCCAACCTACTCCTATACCACTGAACATCGCACGTCGAGGCAGTCGGTAATTGGGCATACGTAACACGTGTCCCAGCCATCTCAACTGGTGAAGTTTCACTACTTCATCAGTTGATTTTCCATCCTTACCTAGTACCCATTTCCTAACAACTGTGTTACTTACTCGATGGTCCCAGGATATACGACCAATGTTTCGAAGACACCTATGATCAAATACTAGTACCTATGAATATCCTATACTCTTACCGGCCATATTTCACTGCCAAGTATTGGAGGCAGATATCCAAAAAATGAATAACACTTAGAAAGAGCTGAAGTAGAAAGCCTATGACAGAGTTGGTTGAATAATTCTGGTCCATCGCCTATGTTCCACAAGGAGTAACAAGGGTAATTGAGTACATAATTACAGGTACAACACTGCCTACCTCTAAACACTGATAAAACTAGTAACCTACAAATATCCTCTACTCTTACCGGCCACGTTTCACTGCCATAAAGTAGGACAGAACGAACTGCTGCGCAGTAAACACGTCCCTTGGTTGATAGACGGATATCTCGCCTACGCCATAAATGACGCAAGTTAGCAAAAGCTAGTCGAGCCTTCTGTATCCGTGCTGAGATTTCGTCACACACCAGACCACAAGGGCTGATGAGACTTTCAAGATAAGTGAAGCGGTCGACACGCTCAACTATTTCACTCTCTATCATTAGTTCAGGTGTCGATGTAACCCAATCCTGTAGCAAAATTTTGCACTTCGAAAGGGAGAATCGCATCCCGAACATGCTTACATCGTTGCTTAGAGTGGTCAGAAGACTGCATTTTATCAGTGTCTTCACCAAATAGAACTATGTCATCGGCATATTCCAAGTCAACAAGTGAATCTCCTGGTAGAGGTTCAAGCCCTGGAAATTTAGATGAGGAAAGTGTTATCTCTAAAAGTACATCAATGACAAAGTTAAACAAGAATGGAAAGAGTGGACAGCCCTGACGAACACCACTTGAGGTAATTAATTCTGATGACAGTTCGCCATAAGCTCTCACTCGACTAGTTGTGTTCGAGTACAGAGCCTTTACAAGGTTAACGTACTTCTTTGGTACTCCTTTCACTGACAAACACTGCCATAGAACCTCACGATCAACGGAGTCGAATGCCGCCTCAAGGTCGAGAAATACTACGATTGTGGGGCGTCTGAATGTGTGTCTATGTTCTAGGACCTGACGTAGTGTGAATATGTGGTCTATACAACCACGTCCAGGTCGAAAACCAGCCTGATTTTCTCTAGTCTGCTCTTCGCGAGCTTTAGTTAGGCGTCGAAGTATTATTGAAGCTAATATTTTAGACACTATATCAGTCAAACTGATTCCTCTGTGATTGTCACAGATTTAGGATAACAAGTTTTGGATCTAGGATGTACTTATTATTATTAGGATTAACAATGAGAATTAGAGCAGACTCAACTGCCCCCCCCTGTAACATTCGGTTGTTGTGACTGGCTTGTATATAAACTGTAGATTTATCGACCATTTTAGCAGACCTTTCGTAAAGTGCGGAAAATCAGTTCTTGGATGATTTTTTCGCTCAAGAGGGCTTTGGAGGTGTGTAATTCTCCGCACTTTGATTCCGTACTTGACAAGTTATCAAGCGTTTAATATTCCCATGAGAGTAGGGAACTATTAAAGAAACTCAAGCCTGAGCGACTTTGAGAATTTAGTTCATCACGATGACTGAGTAAAGTATTAGAAACTTTTATTGACTGGAAATCAAGCTCATTTACTGTCTCCTAGTTAATACATGGTGTGTTAATTTCTTAGGATAACCTTTTGGGCTTCTGAATTTATTTTCTAAATTCGTAATATTTATCCCAATTATCAATCGATCACGAAGTTGAGTTTCCGATTGGTCTCCAAAATTGTGCTTTGTGGCCTGATTCTGTACTTTAAGTATAAAGTCGCATCATTTTATGAAACGTCAATCTTTCTGCACTCAAAGCTAGCACTGAAAAACGACCAAGTAGTCATTCCTTGGAAGATTCATATAACAATCAGATTAGTTTCTCTGGAAAAGCCATATTCTTTAGCAGGTTATAGGCTCCTTTGTCAATGAACGTCAGGAAATAAGCTGGGAATTTACCATTTTAATATCTTTTCTAGTTATGTATCAGATTTCAAACCGCTTAATGTTGTCTTCAAAGTCATCCCCACTTGAATTAGTATCTAACTTTCCAAGGTTTGACTCGATCACGGCACAAATACGATAATTAGAAGTATTCGAATTGATATTCTAACTGAGAATCCCCATAATAGTACAATTTAAGGCACTTAGAACTCTAGGTGAGCTTAAATGAACGTATTGTATTTGGAATTCATAATCAGTGGGTAGTCAAGTACAAAACAATCATCATTTAGTACAAATACCAAGGGTAGGTTAGTAGATTATGGCAGTGGGATATTTCGTCCGAATTTCTTGAAGTATTGTTGTCCGAGGTTTAAAACCACTGATTCACAGGTGGCTTAAATCACCGTACAGCAATAAAACGAAAAGGCAGTAAATTTGTAGATTTTTTCTTACTTAAACCATCTTGAGAACAGTTTGAAATAACATCATTTCCCTCTAATTTGAAATGCACAGAGTCCCTCAGTATATCTGGACAGAATCCTTGAAATTAGTTTTGGTAATTACAGTACTCACTTCATAAAGCAGTTTCTTACATTATTCTGTGTACTTTTACTCAAGCTACTCGACCCACTATTTTCATAGCGCAATCCAAACGTCTCCACTGTTAGTCTTCACTTTTTGGTGGAGTGATTATTCGGCCTTATTCAATCTGCGTCAAATTCCAAACGCTGACGAAAGCAAGTTTGAATGGCACACGCAGCATTAGAAAAGTTGTATCAGATCTTGTATTCAATAACATCATAGGATAAAAATAAAACGGAATAAGAATGTAAAGCAATCTAAGAAATTCATTCACAACAACATCGTATGAAGCCCCATGGTAGCCAATAAATAAAGTAAGCTTGTTCGTCATTCATTTCTTCGGGGTCATAAAACTCGTGTTTATCGTCAGTTTGGAATTAGGATTTTCTTATCTCTCCTAAGTGGGCCCTATGTTTATCAACCCAGTTCAAATGCTAGAAGTTCGCTTTTTTTCGTAAAGTCATCTCCACGTGAAGAAGGTATTAACCTACAGTTTTCAAGTTTTATGACATTTGTGCTACTGTCAAACCACTTAAACTAGTTTGTTCAAAATCTGAGCACTTGTATTTCATTATTGGAAAAAACGTTAAGATGCCCTCTTCCAAATAACTCCGTGCCCATCATCAATGCAAACTGTTGTTTGGCTAGCCTGCTCTTGAAAACCCCTAACTTGTTATCGTGGTTCATTGTTTTTTGTATTCTTATTTCATTTTAGCTGCAAAGAAGGAAAAGAAAATGAAAAAGAAACAAATTCCGAAGCGGTAAATCAACGTGTATTTTTTGGTTAATTTTATTTGCTTATTTTCCTCTTAGGAAGCACTCGACCACAGGGTCTTCAGAAAGTACTAGTAGTAGATCATCCACCCCCGATCACTATCACCATCACCGTCATCATAAGAAAAAACACAAATCGAAGAAGTTACATAAACGCCCAAAAAGAAAGCATAAACATTCTAGAAATGAATGACTGTGTTTTTTGGTGAAGGCTTTTATTCCTTATTTATGTACAGATTTCTCTGTAATGAAATAAATTGTTACTTTTTAATAAATACATTTCTGTTGCACACATGAATCGGTAGTATCAGTAAGGTACTCCATGTCAGCTAAAAATCCAAGTACATAAAACAACATTACTTGCTTCACGTCACTTGTTGTTTTATTCAAAGATAGATTTATTTGTTTGGACAAATAAATATTGGTACAAAGGGGCACCAAATACATATGCGCCACACAACAATTTCATTTGGTTTGTGTGTGGGCTATGACACTGCCTGGGTGCTCGGGTCAAAGCAGGTGGTTTTCTTAGGGGTGGGGCGACACCCGGAACCTCCGACCCAAAGGTCTGACCCACAAAGCAGTGGAGCATCGTGAGGGGATGCAGTCCCCATGGTAGCCGGTGACTAATGATTGGTTCATACGCCATTTGTTCCCTCAGGATACTGGAGCCCATGTGCACCATTGGTTTGGGATCCGGTTAAAGCGCCGGACATTGGCTTTTTTGACAACACCCCCACCACGAGAAGGCAGTGAATAGGACTTCCCTGGCAGAGGCTGTATACGCGTGGCGGTGTGAGAGAATTTCGAGAGGAAGGGTGGGCCCACACAACTCTCGGTCATACCAGGGCATCTGGGGGCGAATTGGGGTCTGCGTTTTTAAGACAAACTGACACCAAGTATAATACAATAACCTTGCCATTTTCCTGTTTACAAACTTCAGGAACTTGGGCTTGAGATTTAGAGTAAGAATAAGAAAGGGTAGACATTTTCTAGCTTCACTTAACACTCCTGACTACATGATGAATAACACTAAGTACTTTGTTACTCGATCTCCCTTAGAAGCATTATGTTATGTAATTGAGCGTAAGCACCATCTGTAATTCACTTTATTAGTGAACAATAAATATGTTCATTAATTTCAAACATTTTAAGAACCAAATTTTGCCAATTTTCACTTAGTTAATGATAACATACACGTTATATATCACTTTACTTTAACCTATGAGCAAGATAATTAAGATGTTATCTTAATTCAGATCCATATTTGTATATTGAGGACAGAAGACCTTTTCTGGTAAGCTTTTGAGGATGTAAAATCTCTTGAATGAGTCATTTGAAGGGTTTCTGACTATTCGCAATAAAACGATGTTTTTGATGACCCTACTTCTAAGTTTCTCCAGTTTATAGAAGATGCATTAAAGTCACCTACTATAAGACTTTTACACCTGTTTGATCAGGATTTAAGTTTACTTAGAAGGAAGTCATCCACTACACATTCTGGACTGTGGTATACTATAACTAATTCAATATCTTACTGACTACATTTCAGCCAGTAGCGCACAGGTTCACATGTTTCTAAGTCGTGTGCCATTGTCTCGACAGCTCGTATGGCTAAGATGCTTTTCATGTACAGGATAATCTCACCATCCGTATAGTTTAGTCTGTCTGGTCTGCAAAGTAAGCAACCAAGAAATTGGATTTCACTGTTATGCACTTCTGACGTTAACCATGTTCCTGAGATGACAATGACATCAAGGTTTTCTGTGTCCACCACTGTTTTGAGCTTTGATGTTTTATTTTGTGGTCTGCAGGCAATTGTATATCACAGCTTTGGGGGTAGTTTCGCTTCGATCTTTTGCAATGTGAAAAACCTTAAGTATGAGGACTTTTCACTGTCTCGGCAGTGCTTATTTATTTCCACCTCTGGCGGTCGTCTCTTAATACGATCAATCAAGCTAAGATCCGCACAGACATATATTCTAGGGCCAGTCAGTTTGCTTGAATTTTCTAGTGTTAGGTTTCTTTCTTCAGCAGAAGCCAAAATAACTTTTAAGATGCGGCTTTTCTGCGTAATTTTAAAATCTATTTTATGTCTTGTTCTATAAAACTTATGAATGCTAACTCGTGCTGCTGTTTCTGGAAGTTGCGTGCTTATCAACGACTTAATGTGGCTTAGATCGTGTTCAAATACAGACTTTGTTTCCTTTTCGGAAGGTTCTCTCAACTTATGAAAAATGACTGACTTCTCAGTAATATCCGTTTTAACGAGCTGTGAGGTTTTGTTTCCTAAACTCTCCTCATCCCTCCACTCCGATTTGGCGCCAGACGTGCAGGTCTCACTCTGTTTACTTACTTTTTTGGGTGTAACTGTAATTCAGTTATTGACCTTATTATGCCTCTTGGCCGCATCATCTGCACCGCTCAGGCTGTGTTCCTCCATAGTCTGTTTTGCGTTGCTATGTGAGTCCACAGATGAAACTGTCGACCCACTTATCTCATGCCTCCCTGTAATTTGTTTCTTCGCAGCATGCTTTTTCTTTTTTTGTAATCATGCCTACATCTGTATGTTTGTTATTCGTTACGTAGAGCGGGATGCTTTGCACAACTAATGTGATAGTAGCCTTCATAACGTTTTACATACATCCTGTGTTAGTCCACGGCCTACGTCGGTATACCCCTTGTTGCATCTGTCACGTTTTATTTCATCCTCGACTAGAAAGATGCACGTGGGTCTACCACAACTCTGTTTTGTTTTCACCGTTAAAATTGTCAGGTGAGCTCACAGAGAGAACAACACAAAAAATCTCTGTAAGCGCAAAAAAACTGATTTCTAGAATAAGTATTTGGTAAGCTCTGAATATGGTAGACACTGAACACAAAAGGCTGAGATTTCTATGTTACTGTCACTGAAACTCCAACTAAAAGTAAATATAAGGGAGCGTTTACACTTTAGGACACAATCAGAACTAAGATATTCACTCGACGAGGACAGATGCCACTGTCCTCTTTAAATAGGGAGTTTAATCCTGACTGGTTAGTCCAAGGATGTAAGTATATAGTACGTTTACCAGTAGATGGTCATTTTTACTAAAATATTGAGTAACTAAATCTGTAGCTGGTCTCCCTAATTACACCGAGATATGAATGCTATGGGCTCTAATATTTCAACTTACATAGTCACATTTGTTGATTTTGAAAAGACAAAATTCGTAGGTGCTAAATGTTAGATTAGTGGTTTTTTAAACCCATCATTCAGTTAACAACCTGATGCTTTTGGATAGAACAGTTTCAACCTATTTCAATCCCAGCTAAGATAAAGTTTCTTACGCTTGTCACCCTTCGTGGAGCATAAGCCCACAGTCATGAATCTCCAACCGTTTCAAATTAAATTAAAACCGACTTTCTTTTTTATGGTTACTAAAACTTGACAAAATATGCTAACAAGGGAAGGCGAAAGTTAGCCTTAGTTTAGTTTGAAAAGGTTTGGATTATCCGGTTGTTGATATTTTGATTGAAATTTAGTCAATCTTTGTTGATATATGTGTATTGTCTTGATATATCCGTTATTTCACAAGTTTATATATAATAGATGGACTGTCTTATGGTACACCAGAGTTTATAACTTTCCAAGTACTCTTGGAATTGAGCAAGAAGACCTGGGAAACTCATTTCTCCATTTTAATCCTGATTACTGTTCCTAGTTCAAGTAAATTACAACCAAAGGTCCCTATTATCTTATTCTGTGGCGACAATCACGAATAAGTATTCTGAAATAATATCCTACGATATAGGCGTACGAGTTTACATAAAGTGAACGAAAAAGCAACCATTTTCACTGACAATCCGAAAGCTAGACAACTAAATCAGTTATCAAATGACATGAGGCCTGCTACAGATAAGTATCGGTTCAAGTTCCAACGCTCCACAGTAGCATAAACGAGGAAAATTCACAATAATAAAAGTAAGCCTAAAAAAATAGTTTGAAAAATTGGTTAAATCGGTTTAAAAAAGTATGGGATGATATTAAGGTTTAATAGTTGGGAAATAATGGGCGGGTTTCTCTCGCTATGCGTTTTTGTATCATATCACCGTAGGTCTCTAATTATCTCTAATTATAATCACTTGGACCCCAGTTAGGGAGTACTCACTTCTCTATAGTGCTCAAACTATAAGTCCCTTGGTTCATGAGCCAATGCCACATACATCTAGATTTCCTTTAGCTAACTCTTATCCTAGCCACCATCGCACATGTCATTTGTCCACCAGTTTTCTAAATGTTCTTTTAATTTTCCTTAGTAGATTAGATGTTAAGGTTCCATGAAGTGAAACAGTTGGCTTTAGCGAAACGTTTATCTTATGTCGTTTTGGCTTATCGTCGAATAAAGACGCAACTGGTATGTTAGATTTCATTCACTGTCGGTCTTGTTTCAATTATAACAAGAACATATGAGACTTTTCTAATTGAAGCAGAGTTAGTTCCGGGAAGAATCATCATTTTCACTAAGGTTGTAGAAATGCTTTTGATGATGAACGCCTTCAAATACATCCTGTGTTTTTTATGCATTTGCTTCTACGTTAAAAAACTTGGTTAACGTTTACATAAAAGTGCTTTGAATTAGTTGCATAGTTTGTGGAACATTTATATATCTAAAGGAATGAAATATACACAAAGTTATTCATTTTTTTTTCTTTATGGTGTTCTTAGTCTTGAATAGAGTTGTTCTTTCATCATATATCTTTACTATTTTCTCTACAGCTTTGAACTAAGGGGATAAAAGTTTATATGCAAGTTTTATTGAATACATTTATCACAGTTCGATTCGTCCTAACTTTTAAAATTTTGTGATAGTCTGAAATCATGTAGAGCTTATGAATAGAGTAGGATATTTAGCAACAGAAAATGTATACGAACTTAATAAACCTTCATATTTCCTTTGTGATTTTCCGTTTCTTTATATGAGTTCTTAGTACTGATATCGGTTGATAAGGTTGAAACAATTTGAAGTGCTTTATTTCGTTCGTATTACTTTCTTATAGTATTTTGCACTACTTACTAATAACCAGTAGTTTTGATTGTTTCTACAAATTTGTTTTTCTACCAAATGCAATGTAGGGTGTTTCTTGGAATGAACAACTTATGTCATTCATTTCTATGCTTTTATTTTTATACTTGTGGCAGTATTTCCTTTT